TATTTCACACCTTCAGGACATACCTGACTGCTTTATTTGCACAGACACTTTATGATGTCATGACTAACTTTTTAAGGTCTCCTGTTGACTCAGAAACAAGTTATTTTGTTTTTTCTCAACATGGACTAATGCATTTATGCGCCAGTTACTCAGCTTAATCGTGTATATGTAGTGATAAAGTTGTTAAGATTGTTCTTAGTTACAACTTAACTGCCCGTTTCACACATCTCGCGCTCTAGTTCACAAGTACAACAAAGCATGCTTTGCATGTTTTAAACAGCTACATCAAAAACCCTGATAGCCTCTCACTGCCAGGAAACACAGAGCAGGAGATGGTGAAAATACCTCTGTGAGGAAGACACACAAACAGAGAAGTAGGACATTTCTAAGAAACACTTTAAAAAGGTTTTATTCTGTGAAAAGGGAGATGCTCACCATGAATGGGTTTGGTTCACATATTCGGAAGAAGAGGAAGAAAAACCTGGTGTCTGGTGATATAATTAAGAACATATCTGAATGTGAAAATGTAACTGACGCATCTCTCTGCTTTATCAAAGTTCCTGACAGGCCAGTCCAGTGTAACCCGCCCGGGAAATTGGTGAGATCGAAAGAAGATCAAAGAAAAGATACTTGTTACAGTGACACGCAGACTGAGTGTCCCTTTAAGCACACGTACTGCACTTTTCTCATGTTTACTCACTAAGATAAACCACTACAACTGTCTAGTCTACATGCAGACTGAATTTTCTCTTGCGCTATTACAGACACCTGATGTCAGCGAAGTCAAATTCCATTGTACACGGTGGGCTTCATACAGCCCACTTACATTTTAAATGGGCTGGACCATTGAAAGCCCTTTCCTCTCAGTTTAACTACGCATTTGATATGTGAAATATTATAATAATATAAAATCTGATTATTTATTTTTAAAAAAGTATAACGGAGTGTTTCCCCCCGATAAAGGACTCCTGCAGTAAATGAAAGAAACTGTTTATTTACATGTATTTCCTACTGCCTATACTGTAAGAAATAAAAAGGTTCTGGCAGCTTGTCACCAAAAAGTTTTTGTTCATTAAAAAAAATGCCTATTTCATTTATTTATTTATTTATTTTACTGTGAAAAAATTCTATAGTAGATCATAAAAAATGAATTGTTTCTGTCATTGAATTATTTATCTGTTATTTCATTACTTTTGGTGCCTCTGGGAGAGCGCTTTATCGGCAGGAAAAGCTGTAAAATGTATTAAAAAATACAATTGAAATTAAAAATGTATCTCCTTTTTACACTTTCTAAAGATTTCCAGTGGGCTGGACTGCAGTCTTTGTTGGGGCAAATCTGGCCCGCGAGCCTTATATTTACACTCCTGCTTCTGGTAGCAATCTACTCATTTCAGTCCAATTTACACAAAGGTTTGACGTCACCCTGAAATCTCCTTTCTTTAGGGGGAAAAACACATTTGTTTTATTTGATATGATATGAAAATAGTCAGAAATGTTGTAAATGATTACTATTAATCATAAATTATTGATTGCTTTTAATATACATAACATCTGCAGAGGCCCATTTTTCCACTTGAGCGGCCTTTTGTACAGCTGGAAACAGTTTTTCTCATTAATCAATCAATGAATTTGGCTACTTGCAGGACCACAGAAATATCTTCACAGACCGCTGCCTTAACAGAAGTAGTCTGAGTTAACCACAAAAAAAGGAAGCGGGAGGCGTCAGTGCAGAATGCCTCCCAGGTCCTTGACTGGCAGCTTCAGGAAACGGTGGTTTGTGAAAGGAACGGTACTCTTGATTTGTTTTTGTAAAACAATAAATTTACAAAATGTTGCACCGGAACAACAGCTGCTGAAAATGGGCCTCAGTAGCAATTTGATTAAAAATCACTATCTATTTATGATTTTATTAATCCTTAACTGCCTTTTGCAGAATTTCTGATCAGTTTTCATTATTTTCAGTTAAAAAAACAATCAAAGCATTTTGTGCTGCCCAAACCAGCTGTTTTCGTTTTTCAAACAATTTCTATAGAAACTGCTCCGTCTGAATAATATTCTTAATGTGGATGTTACTCTTACCTAAAGCTGCCACTCCATATCCAGGTGAACAGGCCTTGTGTGCGATACAGAACTCTATCACTAGGTGGAAACCTGGAGCACATTCGCACAGCTGATCATGAGTGCTGTTGCACTGCTGCTTCACTAGCTGTCTCTCCTTACACACCTAAACGGGAACACAGAGAGGTCACACATGTGAAGCTGCACACGCACAAAAAACGTAAGTAAAAGTTTATTTGCATGTGTTGCTATAAACAACACAGCAGTTTACAGCAACGCAGGTCATGAAGAACATCATGCTTCCGCTCTGCAACTTGTCTCAAATATCATATTAGTCTGTTGGGAAGGCGAAAAACTGAAATTTAAAAGCATCACAAAGCAGACATGTTAACAATACAAGGAGTATCATGAAAAAGCGGTGATTGCGTAATTTATCTGGAGTTGCGGAGGAGAAACATCAAAACTCTGGGGGAAGATCTTTCTACCACAATGAGCAAACTGGGACTTTCATTTTTAGTAACAAAAACTGAAGTGGAAATACTGGCTTAAAGAAAAAGACAAATGCAGCACCAAAACATAAATAAACAGTAAGGTCATGCATCTTGGGAAAAGACACCAGCAAAGCCACATAAAAGCACCGCTGAAAAAAGCTGGAAGACAAAAAACTAAAGGTATGTGCATAATTCCTGACCATACTTTGATTTCAGCTCTGGGAAATTCTTTTAGGTATGAGACGATACATTGGGGAGATCTTTTTTTACTACAGAATCCTGTAATTGTCACAAAAAACCAGTCAGTTACGGTCTGAACACACAACAAAGGAACCATTATCGGCCTCATGAAACATGTAGCCCTAGTTTCTATTAAGAAGAAAAACTAGAACTGAATGTTAGGTTGATGGCCTCATACGTACCGAGGTGCAGTACTGGCATTTCTCCCCCCAGTGCCAGTTCTCGGCGAAATGCCTGTCAGGACAGGGCTGGCACTCTGTGGGCATGTCGGCAGTGCAGTGTCGTTTCACCGCTGTGCCAGGTGGGCACTGGTTACACGTGAGGAACGCGGATGTCGCGGGGTCACGGTGCTGGTACGTTGGTTGTTCAGCTTGCTGCTGAAAGGCCCAGGAGAGAGAAGCTGTCAAAAGCTGCAAGAGAAAGAAAGTAAGTCGCTTCAGGAACTGACTCAACAGCAGTGACAAAATCTCTAATGAAACCCATCTCGTGAACAGCTTCACTTTGGCAAAAGAATCAAATATTTTTATATTTTGGAGCACTCGCCAACCCAAAGATTCCAGTAAGAACGAGTTGACTGAAAGGTCAGAGCAGTAAAGCTCCTGGTGGACATAAGGTCCTGAAGTTTTTTCTGCTGCTCTTCAGAGTGCAGTTGATTACTCTATAGGGACAAATTCGCAAGAATAACACAAGTGTATTTTAAACTTTCGGGGTAGTAACGTCCCTTTTTTTTTGCCTCAACTCGTCATTATTTTCAGTAAATGCTTTTTGTTGATCTCAACTTTTAGGATTAATAAAGGGATCAAAATGATTTTATTGGCCTTCTGGCATCATTTCTCATCTGTTTGACTTTAATCCAAAGCTTTTTAAATGAATTCAGATGTTTCAGTCATGCCAAAATTTTCTACACATTGAAATAAAAGAAGTGCATGACACAGGATTACAGGCATTAGTTGTGCAGCCTTGTGTTCTCTGCCCTCACTAGCAGTTCCCTACCCATGCCGGCAGCCCCGTAAGCTCGGCTGCTTTGCAGCTGAAAAGCATCCGATGTGATTCAGGAGGTGATCTATCGCACTTTAATACTGTCCCAGATTAAGATCCACACCACACCCACACTCTCCTCAGCCACCCAAAACCAGCCCATCGTTATGGATACTCTGTAAAGTGGGTGGTTTTCAGCGAGGCTCTGACAAGCCTGTGTAACTACTGCACAAAAACAAGCCCATGTATCATCGCCTAGGCAAAAACTGAAACGCTCGGGTCGTTTCTAAAATATGAGATATCAGTTGGTGAGCGTGTTTAACATGGAGCCAATCTAGCCGGTCGAGGGCACATGCAGACCAGCTGTCACACATTAGGCTTCTTCCACTCAAAGGCCCTTAGCCATTGGTTCTTTGGACTTTCCCGTTGGCCCGGATACATCCTCACTGCTTGGACAACTAACCAACAATAGACCGTCTTGTATTGTGTGTGAGTGTGTGTTTGCATGTGGTTTCTTGCTTCATATCATGTGTGCATCTTCAAAAATAAATGAATTTGTATGACAAACAACTAAAAAAAGAAAACTCCCATGCATGTGTGTGCAGGGGTGCGAGCATGCAGGAATGTGTGTGTGTATGTGTGTGTGCGTGTTAGTCGATGTTCATGTCCAATTACCATCTTCCTCAGAGCTGGTTTGCGCGCTCTGTGGTCTCCTGGCTGCCGTTCATAAAGAGTACTGTTGGAGGTTACTGGGCTTTCCCCATTCACCACCAGAATACAAAACAGTCACCCACTCTGTTCTACAGATTACCCGCCGCACACCACTGATCTCCTTCCTGCGTGCATGCATTTGTACTTATCCCATTCACCTTAGAACTCGGAGCCACAAAAAACAGTCGACTTTGTGCACATGAACATGCAACTAAGGAATGGCTGGAAAACCAGAATGTGTGTGTGTGTGTTACATGATGACTGCCTCTGTATCCTTTAATCAATATTGAAGAATTAAAAGAAAAAAGGTCTTTTCACCAGAAATCTACGCATGTTTATGAGTGGGTGTGAGTTTGGGAGAAACAGTGTGCAGTACAGCTGCGACTTCCCTGTCCTGCCACATGTTACTGAACAATCTGCTCGTTCTACAAATGGCTACAAATGGCGTGTTTTTCCTAAGCGTCACTGCGTTTACGTCCGCACTACTACTCTACGTGCACCCTGCACATACGCGTTTTGTTATTTCTCCCTTTCCAATGGTCATCACCGAGGAAGACGGCAAAAAATAGATGAATGGGTTTCGCACACCATAATAGAAACCTAACATCAAACAGCCTGGAGAGCGCAGTGCTTTTCCCGGCAAAACCTATCGACCTCTTCCACCGAATGTTCAGTGGAAGGCTTTCATCAGCGACATGCTGAGCAGTAGCATGACTTTGTTTGTAGTCTGGGTGGCCCCAGCAGCATTCAAACCCATAATCATAGTCTTACTCCTTAAATTAAGAAATGTGTATATACACTCCATTAAGCCCAAGGACCAAATCCAATTGATTTAGAAACAGGAGAGTGGAGTATGCTGAGTGACTAACAGAGGATCACCTGGATCATCCAGGTGTGGTTTACTGGCAGGACAGTCCAACCCTCGGTCAGAGCCCGTGATAAGCGTTTGCCCCTTTTGTTTTAGAAATCCGTCAAATGGCACAATAGCTTGCCACGTGCATGCTTGTTCCTCCCTCTGTCTGTCTATACGTGCTTTCTGCGTCACAGTTAAAGTCATGTCCTGCTTTATTTTAGCAATCTGCTTCATTCTGTATCTTTTTTGTAGTTGCCTTTATTTCCACGTCCCTACTAGTTCCACCTGTGTTCTCTCATTTAGTGCTCTTTGCATGTACACTGTATAATCCCGTCTTTCCCCTCTGTATCCCTATCATGCCTTTCATCTTACTTCAGTTTAGGTTTTGATTTCTAGTGCTTGTACCTAGTTTTGTTGGACTCTCATGCACCTTTTGTTGATTTTAATCTATCAAAGTTCATTTTTTTTATTGTCAGCCCATCTGTCCTTGTTGTCCTGCCTTTAGTACTTTTTGTGAAACAAGTTTGATTTGCCTAAATCTGTGACATGCGAGCACAAAGCAGTGACAGGAAATGTATAAAAGGTAATAAAAATGAATAAAAGAAAGCACAATGATGCTTTTTAGGTTGGGTCTGAGAAATGCCACGGTTGTGCAGTGTACCGATACACAGTACATGTGTTCAGTGCACATATGTGCACATCTTCAAAGTGAATGAACCAGAGGCCTGAGAAACAGATGTAGCAGACTTTTTAAAAAACAAAAACAAAGTAAAACTCAAGGCCAACCCTCATAAAGTATAACAAGTGTTTGGCAACAAGTAGTGTTGTTCAACAGATGTTTGACTCCATATTGAAAGATGATTGCATATACAGATGTTATCTCTCAGATCATCTGACTGCATGTACGCTGTATTGTTTTTCAGAGAAGGTTCTGGACATTATTTAAGGCCCTTCCTGCTTTCTGGTCACTTTCTGATGGGCAGCACTAAATTATCCCAACCACCCAGCACGGTAGCTTTCTGCTACCGAAGAAGAGAAAATGTCAACTTTTTAAAAATTTACTCCCTGGGATGGACGTCCTGTGGAGCATGTGACTCCATCTATCAACAGCTACGAAAGATACTGAACTTTTCACCCGTCTGTCTCCTTAGAAGCTGCCATCTGACATCATGGACGACCACGGGAAATCTAAATTACACAGCAGCTAGGGGCCACTGACAGCCATAATTATAATGTTAGCATCATCAGAGGAGTGCTCAGCAAGAGACATATCCTATTTGGAGTTCAGCCAGCTCAGAGGAGAAAATCAAGGGTGAAGGTACGGAGGTGGTGATAATTTTCTAGCATTCCTGTGCAAAAGCCCTTGAGCAAGGCAGAGCAGCTGCTACATGTAAATGATTGTAAGCAGCGTCGCTTGCAATCATTTACATGTAGCAGCTGCTCTAACGGCTTGCTGGAAAAGGAGGCTCAAAAAGTTCCCACATTTCTGTGGATTAAACTAAAAAGTTAGAATAAAACAGTCTATATTTATACTGGATAAACCCGCTTCATCAGATATAGTTTGCTTATATAATCTGTGCCAGCGAATCCCGTTTGAACTGAGCTGAGCAAAAAGCTTCGTGTTTATGAGGAGAAGTTTCTACCAATGCTTTAACAGAGAACATGTGCTGCTTTAAGAGATGTTTTCTCTTTAATAAAGACAAAACAAACAGCGGGAGTGGGTCCCATGCTGTAGAAGGTGGTGACAGACATGGTTATATTGGATCAATAGCATCTCAAAAGCGTCTCACTTGTGCTAGCTACCCACAACATTCAACACAAGTGATACCCAATCCAGTGAGCTATTTACTGGCTCTGAGATTAAGCGAGCAGAGGCACACACTTTTCGTTTTGTTTATCTGTCACTGATTTATCACTATGGTGACATACTTTGACTGGAACTATGTGCAAATCTATTGCGCTGACATAAAGCAGTTTATTGGGGCCTTTTTCACGTCCCCTCTGACTGAATTTGTTTGTGAAGAGGTCAGGTCAAACGGGTCAGCTAGCACAAAAAGGCAAAATATCAGTTTCCTATCGCTAACGAATGCATTTCATTTGTGTTGATGTGCTCCGAAGGGTTAAACTACAGGATAAAACGATTCAAATGTTTTTATAAAAAGGGCTTGGGAAATTTTAATGCGATTTAGTAAATCACAACTGCATTATGAAACAGAAACACAATACTTTGTGTTGCTCGTGGAAATGTCAAAAATCCGTCCAGGAGAAATTAGCCACAGTGTTTAACTAACTTGCAGCAGATAGAGTTTGGACTATGCTGAAATGCAGCGCAAAAAAACAGACTCCGTGCTCGGTTTGCCTGAGGTCAGATTTAAATTCATGGCATGAGGAGAAGAGCTGTGGCACAAAGGGATCAAACCACGTTGCACCAGCTTATCCACCAGGCACATGGATTCAGTTAACTGCAGAGCGCAGGTGGTCTGAGGGGGGATTCCAGCCTGTGCGTGTGTGCGCGTGCCTGCACGTGCATGTGTGCCGCCGTGGGTGTGTGCGCAGGTCAATGTCTTTTTTCACTTATGCGACACACGATGCCACACCACATCAAGCGGTCTCTGCTCGGTGTGCTCACACCATGTTCTCACGCTGGAGAAACTTCTAATCTCTAACTGGCTGCTAGAATATTTTACAGATTAACCTAAATTACTGAGTCGTTTATGCACGAGAGCTAATGTTTATTGTGGATATTGTGTCAAGGCGCTCTAACCCAGAAAGCGTGCTGCCGTGCAAAAATCTTTCTCAGTCTGAAGGAGCCTTTCTTTGTGATTTTTGCTGGGTTTTTCTCTTTATTGTAAAAATGTTAAACAGAAAATATTTGGGCCGTTGGATAAACACACAAGCATGCAAACTGTGTGATGGAGCTGTTATTTGAGAAAGTGCTTTTTAGTTCTTTAGTTAAAACTCTGCAATAACTGAGCTATTTATGACCAAATCTGATCACTTTTATGAATTGCTACACCAGCACAACATTTGGACACAAAGAGGAGATCCTGTAGTTTTATGCTGTGATCATATTGAGGGGTCCAAGCTTTACTTCTTCTACTTCTGTGATCACGCGTCACTGTGATTATCTGGACTGTTTTACTAATTTAAACGTTTCTGGTTGTTTTTATTTCTCTGCTTGCTGAAACCAAACCAAATAAATCAAGCTGTTCTCGTGTTGTTACACATCTAATGTCAGGTAATCTTTTACTACAGAAATTTGCATCATATCAGTCATGCTGTTTTTAGAATGATTCATACAGTAGTAAGAGATAAACAGCAGGCTCTCTTTCTCCTCTTTGTATCCATTAATTGCTCCATCCCACTCGCCCCTCCCTAGCCACCCACAAACTTCTGCTATCAATACCTACTGTTGATGGAAACGGGAAGTTAGGTGTATGGAAGTAACCTTTAGAGGCAATTGTTGCTTTCTGAATAAACATTTGTGCTTGTTTGTTTAAAACATGTTGCTGTGATACCTTCCTACCCGACTCTGTCTTTTCCCGCCATTCCTCACCCTTTCTCCAGTGTTTGGCCAAGTGAGCTCTGTAGCTTCTTCAGCCTGCGTGTGAACCTGCAGCTAGGTTTGAGGAAGTTGCTGTTGCTAATGCCAACGGCCACAGCAGAGCGTAACGTGGAGGCGGCGTAAAGATAAAAAGAACACAGATAGTAGATCATGGATAGTAACAAAGGGGGAGAAAGCATGTCCATGCATGAGGATTAGAGGTAGGATTATCCAACCATGCTGGTTAACAGTCATGTTGACACACTGACAACAACAACTGACCTGACTACCTGCTGCTCTGACAGTGGTGTGTTATTTTTGCCATTTCAAAGAAAATGACTGTTTACATATTGAAACATGTGCCTTCATAAAAGCAGGTTGACAGGATGAACTATTCCACTGGCATCATGCTGGGCAATGACAAGCACATGTGTGAGGAGTATGCAGTGCAACAGGAAGAGCACACAGGTGCTGGAGGTCTATTTAAGATCCAAAATTGCAGTGTCCATTTACCACAGAATTGTTTTTCAGACAGACTGCAACCAAGCCTGGCTGGCAGGCAGACAAACAAGGATATCATGTGGTGGATTCAGAGGAGATGGAGATGTTGGCTGGATGTTGCCAGTCAAGACTGACTGAGTAAGCAGTTGCCAGAAAGTTGCCCGTCTTACTCACCAAATGACTGATGTACTGGCCGACTAACTGAACGATGCATAAACAAAAGAGCAGAATATTTGCCTATTTTAGGACAGGCTACACTGAGTTAGAGGAATAATCTGTACTGAGTATCACATTATATGGTCATATAAACTACTGTTTCACAGCCTTGTTCGCTGAATTACGCACAAACAACACGCGTCTTCCTAACTGACCGTGCTTGGCAAAAAAAAAAAAAATCTCTCTTTTTCCTGCACTCTCACACAAGGCCAAAAGGATATTAGATCAGTGTTTTGGAGCTACAGAGTTTTATCTGTTTCTGGACTGATACCCATCTTGAGCATACATGAATATATGCAAAACCAGAAAAGGCCCCGACACAGGACGGCATGCAAAACACACCAATGGAAACAACATAAAAAAAAAAAGCAAATTGGTGTAAAGTCAGACACGCTGTACCATCTGCTGGGAATTCACCGTGCCGCTTTTGGAGGATAACATTTCATTCATTTTAATCACGCTGTATTAAAAGCAATGAAATACTAGCCAGAGTCAACTTTAATTTATCTGAGAAAACTATAGATCGTGTTTGAAGATGTAGAGGCTGCACAGAGCAGTGAATAAAACATGAGCTCCATTCATTACCAAAAGCAAACAAATCCCCAGCATAAACAACACCGGACAATTTACTTGAATAGCTCTTTAAAAAAAAAAAAATCCTAACATAGCTCTAAAACATACTACTAATATATCTGACTTTCTGCTATTAGCGTAAACTAGATACAACACACCATAAAATGATATGCAAACTCATGCAGCAGATACACAAACTAGATTGTCATCTGTGTCTGATATGGAGAATGGCAGCCAAGTCTGAAAAGCAACTATATGCTCACGTATTAATCTATTAAAGCCCGATATAGCAGCATCAAATACCAGGACCCAACAATATTTAGGGGTACACTTCGATTGTGGCGCACAGCCTAAAGACTGGCCCCTCTCATTAATGGGGGATCATCAAAGTACCTGAACAGAGGCGTGCTGCACAGAGGGAACATGTGGTTGGCAAATATTTAGCTTTTCCTTATCTAGTCCTTAACGACAATACATGCAAGTCGCTGTATTCAAATTATGCCAAAGATCTCCAGATTTATTCGCATTTCTGAAATCTGAAATCTATGTATCGCAAAATCCAACTAAGGATCAGTAATTTAATATATTAAAAAAAAACACACACACACAAAAAAAAAAACCGAAGGAAAAAGAAGAGATGAAAAAGTCATTCCTTCAGAATAAAGTGCTGCTCTACTGCTGAGCATATCCAAGGAGCGGAGCTGCAAACACTTTGGCTACTCACCACCATCAGTTTCATCGCCGGTTTGGATTTGGCTATCCGTGAGCTCATCTTCTCTGCGTAAAAGCGAACTGCGGTATGATGGAGTCTCCATCAAAGAGCCTTTACTATATACAGGAGAGAGCGAGAGGGAGAGCGAGAGAGAGACCGTGTGCCCACCCACGTTTTCCAAGGCACTGCCTTCTTCCCTCCTCGTTCTCCGATCCTAAAAATAAAGTGATTAACCAAAACAGTGGATGGGGTAGGCGACATCAAAGAAAACAACTTCCAAACGAATCTTGCATGAGGTGGGTTCATCCATGAATTAAGCCAAGTTTGCTGGGTTTCTTAAGGATACAAATATTCCCCAAAAATATGTCCTGATAAATATGCCACATGTTCTAAATTGAAAGGTCACCCTGCTGCTGCCAGGTTACACCTAGCTAGGCCCAGGACATAATTACATTCTGGAACAAAGGTGCAAAAGTATGTTTCCATATGCACGTTGTGCAGAAGTATTTACATGTAAAAAAAAAAAAAAGGTTGAGCACCTAATTTGACAAGCTAAAAAGCACCAAAAAAACCCCCACATAGCTTTAATCAGTGTGAATAAAGAAGACTCTTCCAGAATAAATGTTTTGAGTCCTGGTTTGACATAATGTAAACACGATGATTGACGTGTGTTTATTTGGACCAGCCAAAATCATTTAGCTAGAGTGGTAGCGCTTATTTGAACATCCCACTGAGGAAAAGGACAATTAAACACCAAAAATATTGTTTTTCTCAGAAGGTTAACCATCACAGCTTGTGTAGAGTGAGCGGAAAAGCACAAAGAACTTCAGCTACCCGCTTTAAACTTCATTCTACATAGAAAGCAAAGAGGGAGCTCTTGCAAAAAGATTGTGAATGGATGATGTCACTGGATGACAAACTAGGGAATTAAAGATTTAAAAAAGAAAAGCAAATGAAGGCCTTAACCAGAAAGAAGTGCACCCATAATTCAGACGAAATCCATGATGAGTTACGTGTAACGCACGCACATAGTAAACCCAAAAGGCCACACACCCACGCTGTGATCTCAGTGATGCTGAATCGATATCCATCTTCCACTGAAAGTCCCAAAACAGATCTGGTTTTCCGTTTGTCATTTTGTATCCGCTTCGCATCCAGCCCATGCAGAAGGATGACAAAATGTCACAGCCCGCTGCCGTGACGTAGAAGCGCAAGGTTTCAACGTAAGCAGAGAAAATACACACAGCACACCCACTGACCGGCGTCCAAGGCATGTGAGCGAAATGTTAGTGGTGAGGTCACGGCTCACCACAATACGACCAACGCGACACACACAAACGCACACTCGCACATTCAAATGCATACTTTAAGAAAAGGATACAAAAATACACATGCTGTGCAACTCTTTCAGCACTGAGGTAAG